ATCCCAAATCAGTCAGGTATGCCGCCCTTGGACAGGGACGTCCTTGGCATCGGGTACGTCTGGCGGGCCTGGTGTTTGGGAAGTGAAGTGTCGGAGTGGTGAGCGAGGTGCCTTGAGCTCGGTTTGGAATGTTCCGAGCTGCCACGGGTCAGCTCGGGTCAGCTTCGTGAGGCTTGGGGCCCAGTACAGTTCGTGCTCCTTGTAGGGAGCTCAGGTTCTCAGGAGGGAGCTCGCTCTTATGAGGGAGCTCGGGCACCTAGTAGGGAGCTCGGACTTAGGAAGCTCAGGTTCTTTAGGGAACTCGGGTTCTTTAGCTCGGGCTCTTTAGGGAGCTCGGGTTTTTTAGGGAGCTCGGGATTTAGGGAGCTCGGACTCCTAGTGCCGAGCTAGGACTTAGGGAGCTCGGGTTTTAGGGAGCTTGGACCTTTAACGGGGAGTTCGCTCTTAACAAGGAGCTCGGACTAAACACAGCGATCTRGAGTTGAGGCTCGGTAGTGAGTTTGGACTTGCTTCCGAGGTTCGCTTTGGGTGCTCTACTGTCCCGAGCTGCTTGCCTTTGCCATGCGTCGGGCGATCGCGAGGTCGGGCCAAATTTCCCTTCATCAGGTAGCAACATGAAATCTTACTGGAATCGACATTTTTCCCAGTGAACATTACCAGAACTATGTATAGTACAAGAGATTAACATAAGTTGGTAGCAATATTGTAGATATGTGGCATAACAATGTTATTTCCCGCCTAACTTACATGATTGTCACTTTGAAGTATCTCAATATTCATTTTAAACATGAAACATGAAGTTAAATATTAGTTTTTGTTTGTGTAATAGATTATTTCACTGATCTATTATAACCATTTACATTTTCTATGAGTTGAAATTTTGTTTTAACTCATTCTGTCATGAAGCTTTGAATCTTAAGGTTTACAAGACAACTTTAGAATGTATTCTTTTGTCTATAACCTTAGTTTCTTAGCTTTTTTAATGATTTAAAAAAGGTAATAATTTAAAAAAGGTGGGTCGTACTTCTTTTATCATTTTATAAAATATCATTATATGCATATTTTACAATGTTTCCACCATGTGTATAATTTTTACAATATTTCCAACATGTTTCCTATATTAGGATGACCAACATTTCCACCGGCATCAACATGTTAAACCTTGGCCCAAATATCATTTACATATTAAAGTCCTCACTGCTTTTTCTTAGCAAAAAAAATAAAAAAAGAATAAAACAAATCACTAGTCAAAGAGAGAACTGAGATGGAACAACAACAAATTTTGAATGAAATTGAGGAAACGCACCAGTAGTTCCTCTGCGGCTGAAGCTTCGACCACCTTGCCCAGCACTACCACGTTCATCGTGCTGTATATAAGACATAGGCAGGCCTAAAGATTGTTATATACATGGAAGCACTCGAAGGCATGGATCCCAACAAGAATCCCGCTACATGAGGCCAGAAATAAAAAGGTTCATATATACTGAAAAAATAACCAGATAATCCGACCTACCACAGGTATCCATTAGTTACTTGAACATAGGGATGAAGTAAACAATGGATACAAACAATTGATTATGTTGACTTTAATCTAGCAATATCAGCCTTCTGTTGCTTCGGATATCATGTATATGTGTTTTCATCTATGGCAGTGGTGATCAAATGATTTAGAATTGTTTAGCTAATTTATACAGGAAATATATAGGAAAAATTGAGAACATATCAAACAAGGTAATTCTTCCAACTTCATATGATTGAGATAAGCCTTTATTCAGTTAAGTTGTATCAAATAAGTAAAGACAAACATTCACTCTCAAACAAACACACAAACTCATTGTTTAGACTACCATGGACATTTGATACTTATTAATTTTGGAGGTGTTAAACTAAGTCATAGTCTTTTCCCAAAATTATCAACTTACAAAGTATGTATCTCAGAGAACAATTTAAGCATAGTTTAACATGCACAAGTCCATAAGTCCAAGCTAGAGGGTTGACTGGGTTTCCCCACCATGAACTCTACCATACAAGCTGACATAACTGAGTTAATTAGAGACATTAGTTGTAATCCACCAGATACATCCGAGTGTTAAGGCATCCCGTGAGCAAAAACATTGCTCAAAATAATAACGATACCTATTCATCCTGAAGTATACATGCATAAATTGCAGAAACTGCACATATGCAATGGTTTGCATCATTACAAGTAACTAAAAAGTTTAACTCAAAACCACAAGCAGAAAATGGAGACATGTATGCATCAAAGCAGCAATTCAAAGTTGAATTGGTTGACTACTAAGTATGAAAAGGGAACGAGGAAACCATTATGAAAAAGGGATATTTCATGAATTGAGAGGGGCATAAGCAAATAGTTATAAATTAAGGCATATTTTACAAATTAAAACAAAACCTGAAAATAAGATCGAGACCGAGGCACTTCAGTTGGATCGGATGAACGTTTGGTGCCATCATTAAATTCATTGGTCTTCCTGTCAAAATCTTTGTCTGCAATATCAGCCCCAACCTTTGACTCGGGTGCTAATGGAGCCTCAAGTGGTAAAGCATCTTGCAGTCGCCTACGATGCTTTTGATCCCTGTCCTTATGGTCAATAATATCCAAATTACGATCACTTGATGTTCTCTCTGTAGCTGGTTTCCCATCTCTCCTTGGTCTCTTGGGACTAGGATCAAGCAAGCATCCATTTAAGTTAGAAGGGCACCAAAAGTAGACAAATTAAGTGATATGCACAGATCAGTAAAAATGTAGTTCATACCTGTGAGACTGTCCATGCAAATAAAAATTAAAAATTAAAAAAAAAAAAACTCAAGGGGAAAATGAATTGTAGAATCATGTTAGATTGAGGATCATACAAGCAAGAAATATGATGAAAACATAATTGAAGAAACAGGGTTTCCACAGGATAACAAGAACTTAGATGGACTAGGTGTGCAAAATGAAAATAAAAGCATCTCAGATATAAAGGGTAATCAGTCCATTATCCAATGATGTCCCAACTATCTGGGGTCTTGGGATGGGTGGACTAGATATGGACCTAATCTTTGGCTTTTCTTTAGCACAAAGTGGCTGCTCTTGTACATGCTGACATTAAATGACAACTTTGCAATTGAATCCAATTCAGATGAACTGGCCAAATCCTCATCCTAACTATTTGGCATTGAACCATGAAAGAAGTTGGAGAACCGGAGTCCCTCATAAGTCATAAGTAATAACCTTTCAGAATTGAAACCCAAGAGAAGTTGGATCTTTTGATTTTTTTTCTTTGATAAATAGTTAGGTCTTTTGATTTTCCAAGTCACTATTTGCACATCATTATTTTTCACTCCAAGGATTCTGCCATTCATCTCTTTTCAAAGTCTCCAACAAATAGAAAAGGGAGTAAATTTTGCTTCAGAGGTCAAGTTTTTCATTTGGTAGTAATTCTGGACAAATGCTTGACAAAGGATAATTTTTCCAGGCATGGTATGATTTTGGATTGCTCCCTTTGCCCTCTTTATGAGCAGAAGGAAAATTCTAACCATCTTTTCCATCACTGCATTTCCTCTAGCAGAATATAGGTCCATTATCTCAGGGCCATACAGCTTATGTGGCGCTGCCCCAAGTTAGCTGCTGACCTTTTTAAGGAATGGAAAGTTCATGGTACGAGTAAAAAACGCAGATCCATGTGGTCCTTGGTTCCTTTAGCAATCATGTGGGCTATTTGGCTGGAGAGAATGTTTGAGTTTTTGAGTAAGATAAACCCTGTTGAAGCTGTGTCCTTTTTTGATTTTATTAAGCTTGACTTTCCAGTCAGAGAGGTTTTTTTGGGGGGGCTGTGTGTGTGTGTGGAGAGCTACGCTCATCCTTCCTGTCCATAGATTTTTTTTTTTTTGGTATATAATGGCTTGTCCGGTGGATTACTGTACAGATCCTCTTTGTACATGGACATCTTGTCAATATTTTTTATATCAATACAAATTACTTTAACTTTTCAAAGAAAAAAAAAGTGAATTTTTCTAATTCTGTTTTCTATAAACTTTGCTAATTCTGTGAAATTTTAGTGTATTACTTCTTTTTTTATAAGTATTTTAGTATATCACTTATTGATTTCCTATATAGAACTTTCCCTTCAACTTAACTGGCATATGCACTGAGCATGCACAATACCTTTAGGCACACATCTCCACTGCTAAGGGTGTCAACGGACCGGTTTTGGATTGGACCCCGTCCAAACCAAAATCAATTTGGATGGATTGGACAGAGTGACCAACAAGACATATTGAATTGGACCAGTCCAGACTTAATGGTCCAAAGTTTTTATTGGATTGGGTTGGATTGAGCCAATGTGTAGTCTATTGATAGAAGATAAGTATATAGGTGTCAATGGACCAGGTTTGGTTTAGAATTAATCTAAATTAAACCAAATTTGAACAGATTGGACGATCCAGACATTGAATTGGACCAGTCCAAAATATTTATTGGATTGGATTGGACCTGGACCATTTGTAATGAACTCACATTGGACTGGATCGGATTGGACCAAATCTAGTCCAATTGACACCCCCATCCACTGCATCCGCCCCATAATTCTATGAGTAATGTCCTCTTGAATCCCTCCCTTATAGTCCTAATATGACTTATTGAACCAAGGTAATGAAATGGTTACTGTGAAGTGTTACCTGATCACCAATATTAATTGAAAATTGGAAGAAAGCGGGAGGAGACAGGAGAGATTCAGTGCCAGTAAGTAAAATTGCAATTAAATTCAGGAGAGAAACCTAAGTAATTAAGCAGTCATAAGATGGATATTATATCTATATATTGATAATTAGATATAGATACAGACATGTATCTGCGTGTTTGTGTGATTACAGAAACAGAAAAGGTATATGGTAAAACAGATTTAATCCATTGACTTATTGTAAAAGAAATAGGATGGGAAAATAAACTGATAGAAACTCAATGCTTTCCTGATGCGATTGTGCCTTAATTATGTAAAACTGATGGAATCTCAGGAACATCACAAAAACTGCCACTTAAACGACAAGATAGAGCAACATGCAAATTGTAAAAAAATAGTTCAGACCATCCCCCCCCCCACTGATAATAGATACTACACTCACTAATGCATTACAAATATGATTGCGAAGTCTCGTACCGGTGCTGTCTCCAACAGCAGATCTATCGGAGGAAGCAAACAATTTCTTCAAATCTTTTTACCTTGCGGCTGCGTCATCCTTACCTCGATATAATTCTACTTTACGCGGTTCTTGTTTATGAACTTGTAAATGCACCAAACCCATTTCCTAGTGGAACTCTTAGAATTTTTCACTTCATTTCTTTCTCGCTTTTTAAGGAATAATCTCAACAATTGCCATCTAAGTCTAGAAGCATCACTGCTTTCATTCTCATATGCTTCTTAATCATTTTGTTTCACACAGGCATGACCAGTCCTTAGGTTGCTCTACCTTTCTACGTTTCATCTGAAAATTTCCTATTTGTGTGCATTTGGGTTCCCGTAACATACAGTCGGATGTTCAATTGACTCGTGCAGATGCCATGCCTTAACTATCAAAAGCTAACAAAAACTAATAAACAAATAAGTAGAATGGCCGTAGAATTTTTCCATTCAAACCCCAAATCGAATTCATCCTAACATTGATACACAGAGAGAGGGAGAAAGATAATATAAGAGGAAACCTGGGCTCTCTTTCAGGTTTGGAGTGGAGACGTTTGGTCTCGGATTCTCGACCCTCCCGTCGAGACATCTTCTCCCTTGTTACCTTGTACCTTCTGCAGCTCTGTTGCTTCTTCCTCTGGACAAATACAACCAGCACAGACTAAAGCTAGGGCTCCTCTCCCTCTCCCTCTCCACACCCAACGAAACGAATGCTCGTAAGTCGTGGTGTATGTTGCCCTACCTAAACTCAGTGCTCGTAGGGCTGCAAACGGATCGAACGAATCGGATACAGGTAGATCCAGATTGATCCGTTTATAGTCGAATTCGAATAAGATCTTATCAATTCGATCTTTATCGAGTTTGGGGTATATTTGTCGGATTCGAAACGAGTTCGGATTGTAATAGGATATTGAACGGTATACGTAAATTAAACTTTGCCAACTAAAAAAAATAAAAAATAAATAAAAAACTTTGCCAAAAAAAGGGCAAACTAAACAAAAAATTATCAAAATAATATATATTAAACAAAATGACCTAAAAATGGTTGTGATATTTGATGAAGGGAAATTTGGCCCGACCTCGCGATCGCCCGACGCGTGGCAAAGGCAAGCAACTCGGGACAGTAGAGCATCCAAAGCGAACATCGGAAGCAAGTCCAAACTCACTACCGAGCCTCAACTCCAGATCGCTGTGTTTAGTCCGAGCTCCTTGTTAAGAGCGAACTCCCCGTTAAAAGTCCAAGCTCCCTAAAACCCGAGCTCCCTAAGTCCTAGCTCGGTACTAGGAGCCCGAGCTCCCTAAAG